TGTAATCTACCAAGCCTTGTTCAAATTTTATATTTCAAGACAGATATAGGATCCTCTTTCTTTCCAGTTGTTTCTCCTATGTTAAGTTTTCATCTAAATACAGTTTTTGCTCCTTGCTAAATAAAGTTGGTGGTTTTCTGGTCTTCAAAGCCCAACCCTCTGGAATATTTTCTTTACCAACAACAGTTTCAGATGACAAAAAATACGTTTTCTCGACCTTACTTGTGACTTTTGTTAAGTACATTTGTTGTCATGTCAAGAGTAGGCTCATTTTTCAACTTGAATTTAGAGTTTCCAATTAAAAGATGGTCGTCCAAATTTTTATGTTTGATAAAACTTTTGACACACCCATTCAACAGGGCAACACAACATTCCTCCCTCATTTGGACTGTTCTCTTCATCACCAACTGCCTCCAGATTTTGATCATCCTTCTCCTCCTCCTCCTCCTCACTGAAATGTTCTTCCTCATTGTTACTTTCCCTTAAGCCCTGCCTGGCTTCAGAATATTTGAGCTTAATATCAGTAAAGTTGATGTTTTTAGAGAAATAAGTAAATTTTAGACACACTGACATTTTCATTGTACAGTCATAGATTTGATTCCATTTCATCAGCTTTCATGCAAAAAAAAAAAACAAGCAATGAAACATTCTTGTTCATTTACATACATAAGTCTAAATTGAAAACAACGTTCAAACCTACGATTGCGTTGGTAAAAACCGCAATTTTTATTGTGTGCGTGCAAAAAAATGGAGGGGTCTAAATACAGCACAAACAACATTTTCCAAAAGACCAAAAGAGTAAAAAAGTATATTTTGTTATATATAGTACAAGATTTCTATCTAATGGCGTGTTCTGAACTTAATAACTAGTTTTCCTTTTTATGCTTCAAAATGCCTACACTGAACTCTTTATTGTCACCTAAGGTTGTGAATCATGACAGAATTGCAGGTATTCCCATAAACATGATAAACTCGAGGTAAAAATATTGAGCAAAATAAAAAACTTTTATCTACCTATCTTCTATTTTGGAGGAAAATCTAAACTAATTGTCATTTTGTGTTGCCTTAGGATGTAGCACTTAATACAAACATATTACACTCAAACACACTAATCTGCTCTTTGGTCGGGTTGTTGTCTCTTTGACACATTCCCCATTTCCATTCTCATTTTATTACATTCTATATATATGTGTAATCCGTTGTTTGTTGTTGTTAATGTTGCTGTCAGCCAAAATAGTTTATTTAACGATCGAGCATAAATTTATCCTCTGTTTTGAAATGTTTCACATTTTGTAATCCACAGACCTTTGTAGCTTACTATATGGTTTTGCGCATTGTAGAAGTTTTTGTTGATGATAGAATCAACAGAACATAGTTTTAATCAATATTAGTTACCTTTTCCAATCCCATATGCTTTCAAAACTGTCAAACCATGTTGAGAATAACAAGCATTCTGTGAGTATTGCATGGCAATACATAGTCCCCTACCGGTTAAAAATTCATTATATTGGAACAAATTCTAACTTGGTCTATAACTTATCATAGTGTAAACTATATAAAAAATATCAATTCAATATCTTCAATCATTATAACAAAAAGTGTTGAAAACTGATTATTTAGGTAAATTTTCTAAGTCCAAGGAACATACCCTAACTCTGCACAAAATCATCAGACCAAAACAAAATTTGAACTTGATCTGTAACTTGTCATGATAAAACAATACACTAAATATCAAATCAATATCTTCAAGCATGAAGAAAAAAAGTGTGGAAAACTTATTTGCCGGTGGGAGTAATGGACAGACAGACAGACAGACGGAGTGCAAACCTAAAGTCCCCTTCGACTTCGTCGGTAGGGGACTAATTACTAAATGTTGTAATAGAAGGAATTGCCTTGACAGATGGTTCGAGGACATTTCCATCAATTTCAAAAATTTTATATTGGTAATTTTAATTAAATTAGCTATGGTAGTTGAATGTTTGCAATATTGGATGTTAAATCTAAATCACTAGACATTATAATATATGGCACGGGTTTTGCTAATTTTTAAAGGCCATGTACATGTATAGTGACCTATACATTGCTTTCATTTAAATCATTCACATCACTTGGATTATTCATTCACATCACTAGGATTATTTTGGGTATGCTTAGCACTGAGTGAAATATTCAATGATCCACGTAAAACGGTAAACACAAGGTGGGCATTTTCAGCACAGGATATTGGAGTAGGAAGATTAACACTATGTGTAAATTGTGTGAACATTTGAGCTATATATTTAAAATATATATATATATATAATTAAACAAATGGAATAAAATTATCATGGTTAAATTGAATGAAATGCTTGTTTGCTTTTTTTTTTTTTTGTACATTATTTAACTGTATAATGGCTTTTTTCCCTACTGATACTGATAAATTGAAGAAGGTTGAGTATATAAAACAAAGCAAAATATTCGTGTCCCATTTATGTACATGTCCCAAATTAGGGGACTATCATTTGATATTAAGAGGGATAAATAAAATTATATTTTCAATGGCAGCTTCATCATGTTGATAATAAATATCTATTAACCAAATGTTGTGCATAAAAGATGAAAATTAATATTGATACTGTAAATTAAAAGTATATATTTTATTCTCAAATTGATCGAAATTTATTTTTTGTGAACCTGACCCCTGATCATTTAATTGTCATCCTTATATAAAAATAAATTATATGTAATAACTCGTTAAACAGAGCAGGTATACCAGTCCATTGTCTATATACACCTTATCGCTATTTAATCCGAAAATTAATTCACTTAGACAACTTCCTCATTAGGTCAAGTGTTGCAAAAAACAAAGTACATCTGTAAATCAAACATTTTAAAAGTTTGATAAATAATGAACCACTTTTTTTGAAACACAAATTTAAAGTTTAAAAAAATATGCTTTGTTTATATTGTTTACAATGGTTTAAACATTTCTCTTTGACAGTTTTATGCATAATTTATTTTTTTAATACAACAGGGCCCCAGAAAGCTTCAACTCAGAGGCAAATTTAGGGGGGGGGGGAGGGGCAGGCTCGCCTTTTGTGGGAAAAATTTATTTGATTTGTTTAGCGATTCACTGAAGCATACCTGGACCAGGCCCCCTCTTATGAAAATTTCTGGATCTGTCACTGCAACTGGATGAAAAATTAAGTTGTGTAATTTCAGAACTTATTCCGATTGGTATAAATAGGCAACAAGGTGTATTGTGAATTCTGAATGAGGGTGTCTGTGGATGGGGGTTTACAGAATGGAAAAATATAAATAATAAGAGAAAAATAGACATTAAAAATAAAGAAAAGAGAATAACAAATGAAAAATGAGGTCATAAAATATAAAGAATGGAGAATAATGGGCAAAATATATAAAGAATATAGATAAATGGCCTTAAAATTAAAGAATACAGAAATGAAGGACCCCCATTGATACCCTCCTGCTAGCTGCGGAACTGTAAGGTCATTACAATAATTTTTGACAATTTGCGGACCATAGAGCTACGTATTTTCCCTATATATAAACAAAAGTTCCGGACTATGGTCCGCAAATAGTAAAAAATTAGCATAAGAACATAAGACCTACAGTTCCGCAGCAACCCTCCTGCATGTTTTGGTTTTGGATTGATGTCTCACTGACATCCTAAAAAAAATCTGTAAGTATCACACACATGAAACTTTTTCATTTCATTATCAGTTTTACATAATTTTACCTACCTGTTCCAACCGGCAAAACATATCCAGTATTTCTGTAAATGTCAAAATGATGGGAACATGTTCTTCCCTAATTTTTCTGTCTGCAGAAATAGCTGTTCTTTTGCTCCTACTTTGTTTCTTGTGTGCATTTATTAATTCTGGAAAGTCACACGATTGTTTTCTACTCCTGTTTGCTGATATTTGGTGAATTAAATTTAAATGGTTTTGACAAATGTTAGTTTCATCATGAGGATTAGAGTCACAATGACAATGTGTAAGCCCTAGTTCTGCAAAAAAGTTGTGTTTTAATCTGTTGATTGAAACTGTCCAAGTTTAAGGTTTATTCCTGGATCACAATTGATTGATGCAAGTTTCCTAAAGAAAGAGCATTCTACACTCATAATGGTTAAAAGACATTTTAGTTGACAACATAAGTAAGTTTGTCTGCCATTTGTGAAGATCTTCTCTTTCTTATTACCGAACAGTTCCAAAAAGGGGACATAACTCACTACAGTCAGTGCGGGAGTCTGTACTTTATTACCTTAGACATATATTAAAGGAGATGAGCTATGCTAATATGTTTTAAATTGTTAAAACAAATTAAAAGTGATACATTTTCTTTACATTTTGATTATTTAATAATATTTTGGTAAAAGTCTAACTAATACAATCATTGTATATAATGGTAGGGATCAATAAAATCTCTATGTAGGTGGCATTCATAGTTATTGCCCCAAAAATATTTTTGTGTGAATTTGAAGAGACAACAGCCTTTATTTCATTTTTCATAATGATATGTTTGGGAAATTCTGCTTTTTGAAAAAATAACATGCTCAAAATGGCCCAAAATCGGGTACTTTTTCAGTAAAAATACTATTTTTTACCACACTTAAATCTATAAAATAGATTTAAATTTTATCAATATGTGGTATTAATGATTTTTTACACCTGTATTATCCTTAACACAACTGCTGCAGTAGAATTTATTGTATCAATTTGTCTAAATTTCTTTCAATAAACGATCACTTGCTGAAATACACAAAAATGCCTATATAATCCAAGGACAGCCTTGTTTCCATGGCAACCAGACCATGGCGATAAAAATGTTGGTCTGTTTTATGTTTTCATGGTCCATTCCTTTAATTTGAACCCAAAAAATATATCTTTAAAAAAAATAGTTTGGCCATCAATTTCTATATTTGGGTCATCCTTACAGGTTCGGCTATACATTTACCTGGATGGACCCGGTTCGATCAATCGGCTATACATTTACCTGGTTTTAAGCGGACGAACGTTGGAAATAGATTGCCACTTTGCTAATACCAAGTCTTCATTTAGGTTTGCAGATGAAGCATGCTTTTGATCGATGGAGACACATCCGAGCAATCCTTTACCTTTGATATGAAAATATATTTTTCTTCATTCCTGCAATTCAAAAATTGCATTTAGAATTGTAGATTTCTTAACACGGTTAATGCTTGCTAATTAATTCTCATTATTTTATCAAAAGGTCCCATTTGGTGTACATAATAGTGAGACAACATTCAACTAGAAACCAAAGAACTTGGCAACTGCCACTTACTGTAAACCTTCAACAGTGAGCAAAACCCATACTATGTCATTGTGTTAAACCACTTATTTTTCAATGTCAAAGTATTATTCAAGAAAATTATTGAAAAATATTTAGTTGTTTTTTTATTTGAATGCGTCAATGAAAACATCAAACATCAATTTGTTTTACCTTTAGCTACATGCCATACATCAAATGCATGTGTGGTATTTTCCATTTTCTCTCTAACCTTTTCTTTATAATTTGGACATGTCTATCTGACACGAGAGTTTTGAACTTGATGTTATGGTGCTTAAAGAATTCCACACTCCTCTGAAGCCCGCTTTCTCCATACGACAACTGCTTTTGATCGCATTGCTCTGTAAGGTTAAACCAATTCAAATATAGATAAATTTCCAACAAAAAAATAATACCTAAAATTGAAATGTCAAAAATATGCGTTATCCTACTTTTAAAATTTTTTGTATATAAATACAATGTTAATAGCAGGCCTATGAGTCACTGACAAATTCGAAACTGTCACTTCTCGACACTTGTGCATTGTCTTCAGTTCTTGGTGTGTTCTATGATTACTGCACATCCTTGTCTGCGGAATGTTGAAGTGCTCCTCGTGTTGATGGCACCGGTTCATGTGGTCTCTGTTTGCCTTTTTTAAGTCTCTTGGTTGGGCCTGGCTACCCTTTTCGGAGCATTACAAGGCCATTGAAAGTCTTGAGAAAAAACGTTATTAATTATGAATAACCCGTCAGTTTTCCAATGGAGCAATCATCTTCAGATATATTCATGCACCACAATCACTGAGATCTTGACAGTCACTCATCTCGACATGTATTCATACACCAAAATCTCAGATATCTTGACAGTCACTCATCTTGAGATATATCCATACACAACACGCACTGAAATCTTGACAGTCACTCATCTCCACATGTATTCAGACACCACAAGCACAAAGATCTTGACAGTCATTCATCTTGAGATATTTTCATACACCATAAGCACCGATATCTTGTGATACATCCATATACCACAAGCACAGAAATCGTGACAGTCACTCATATTGAGATATCATATATGATTGAGAGACCAGTGAAACAACCAGAAGTGAAAGGACCATGGTCCCTGCCTGAAACGTGAATTTTATCTTGGTATTTGTTATGCAGAAAGTATCGCTGTGGAAACAACACCACCATCATTAACAGAAATACCTCATCAACAGTTTCAATCTATTGACAATGATGGTTACCAGGAGGGATTAAATCAATACATCAATTTAATTCAGAAAACATACAATCAAACTGATAGAAGCAAAATAGAAACCCTGACAAGAGGTCAATCTGCTAATGAAGAATGGTTTCGTCAAAGAATAGGGGCAACAACAGCAAGTAAGGTTGTCATTGTACTAGGTAAAAAGATGAATCAAAATAATTTTTTGATGGAAAATACCAACAAATTGATCTTTCAAGAGTAAAACCCATTCAGTGGGGTCTGAAACATGAAATTACTGCTTTGAAACAAGTGACAAAATTATATCAGGCGACACATACAAATCTTCAAATTGTTCAACCAGGTATATTCATATCTTAGAGCGTCTCCTGATGCAATAATGACATGTGATTGCCACGGTACAACTGTGATTGAAATCAAATGTCCATATTCCTGCAGATATCTGACTCCAACTTGCTTTATGTCAGAAAAAAAATTACATATCTTGGCATGGAGAAGGAAAACATGAATTTGGTTAAGGGTCACCAGCACGGTTACTATGAACAAATACGAACACAGTTAAAAGTTTGTAAAGAGAATAATGCAAAATTAGTTATTTGGACAACAAAAGGATTGCTAACGATAGATGTTCCATTTGATGAAAAATATTGGACAACCATTATGTTACCAGCAATAAGAAGTTTCTTCAAGATGCATATAGCACCTGAAATTTTAACAGGCAGGCTAAACATTCTTTAAACTCTCAGGACAATTTCAAAGACAAAGAGAAGTCTGACAGCAGTGAAGTTTCTACAAATGAATCTTTCTCAGGTAAGTACATTTTCTGTGCTCTTTCCTTACTTTATCTGCATTTGAACTTAAAGTAGGCCCTCTTGCAAGTGTTTGCCATCACTTTGTGTTTGGCACAAATTACCTTCGTTGAAATTCCTCTCTGAAACAGACTGAGGATTTATAGTAACGAAATTTGTACTTGGCATAATTCCTTATTTTTTTTTTTGCAGAAATTGTGACAAGAAAGGATTATTTTAACATTTTTTTTTATTCTACATCAAATAACATTATTTGTCTTTCCAAAATGACAATATTCAATTTCCCATTTAAATCCATTTTTTTTTTTAATTGTTTTACATTTATCATGCAGGTATGTTTTTTTTCTACATAATATAGGCTGTTAATTTTCTCGTTTGAATTGTTTTACATTTGTCATTTCGGAGCCTTTAATAGCTGATTATGCGGTATGGGCTTTACTCATTGTTGAAGGCCGTACGGTGACCTATAGTTGTTAATTTCTGTGTCATTTGGTCTCTAGTGGAGAGTTGTCATGTTGGCAATCATACCACATCTTATTGTTAATATTTGCTCATTATTTGAGGTTATATCTGAAAACTTTTGTGTCATTAGGTCTCTAGTTGTCTCGTTGTCAATCATACCTCATCTGCTTATTTTTATTTTATTTGATATTTTCAAATGTTACTTCCCCCAAGGGTGACTGGGGAATAGAAGTATGGTCACCATTGGTCTTCCTCTGACCGGCAGTAAAACCCTTTCTAAAGTGGGGCGTCCGTTTGGCTGTGCGGGATGTACAAATTTGCAGCCACGTCCGGTCAGAATGGGGACGTTAAATCCGATGCCTCGTGTAAAGAGAGTGCCACGTTCTTTGCACGTTAAGAACCCTTGCAACAACTCTTTGAGGGGTCCGTACGTGACCTGTTGCAAGGCCAAATTTCTGTCCCTATCCAATATAGCCTCATTTCCCGTGGCAGTCTAAATTTCTCCGACCTTAATCCTGGAAGCCCCTATTACAGAACCTACCTATTGTATTTATTGTTAACTTGTTCTCGTCCTGAATATGCATGAAATATTTGCCACTGGACGTTAAGCAACCAACAATCAATCAATCAATCAAATGTTACTAATTAGATATGTGGGGTTCTTTGAATTGCTGAATCTAACCGTGTATTCAAATTGTGGATTTTGGGCCCCTTTTTTGAATTGGTCCACATTCAGGTCCAAAGGGTCCAAAATTAAACTTTCGTTTACAAAGGATTATGTTAATGTTTGCTTCATAAAAAAAACTCTACAAAGGATTATGTTAATGTACGTTTCATAACTATTTCATATACTTTTTAATCCGTTCTCTAGAAGAATCCCTTTCACCAGAATGGTTTTTCACCAGTTCATCATACAAGTTATAAATCTAAAGGCACTTATAAATTAGGATTTGTAATTATAACTCATTTTGTTAACTACTAAATGAATGTGACTGAATCCCTTCAATTACTTCACCATACACACCTTGTCAACTGACAACCGTTTATCATTTACCTAAATAATAACGGCTGAATCTGGCCTGGTTGATTGTTTGAAGCATATAACATTTTCTTGTTTTTCTTTTTGCAAGATTAGAACACCAATTATGGCAGTACATTCAACAGCAACTAAAATAAAAAATAATAAAACTAAGCTTAACATTCAAATTTATCCTGTAGATTGCTAAAGAAGTAAAGATTGCTTAGTTGTACAAGATCTTTATAAAAAAAAGGTAAAACACAAAAATACTGAACTTCGAAGAAGCATTTTAACACTAACTCTAAAAGGTCTGGAATATAAATGTTGTTTTGTGTCAGCTTTGCTGTTGGCAATCAATCAATCAATCCAGAAACTGCATGCGATTAAGGTTCTGGAAACAGACTCAGGCCTTTCTCTGGCCTCATTTTTTCTCTTTAATTCTTTTTTTTAATTGTTGGACAGATTTTCTTTTATATCTAGGCATGGTTCACTCTGATGGATTCTTGTTAAATGTTTATACAATTATCAATAAAATAAGAAGCTGAATTAAGTCACATCTAATAAAATTATTTAGAAAAATAACCCTATTTAAGGTTATATCTTATACAATATCGTAAAAAGTGGTTGAGTCCTGTAAAATGTTATACAATTATCAATAAAGTAAGAAGCCGATTTAAGTCAAATCTAATAAAATTATTTAGAAAAAAACCCTGAATTAAGGTGATATCTAATACATTTCTTAAAAAGAAAATGTATTGTAAAATGTAATACAATTATCAATAAAGAAAGTGACCGATTAAAGGTTGCACTTTGTAAATACAGCTGTTTCTCAAACCACGCCTCTTTGGGGGAGATCTTGAATATTCATAGAAAATTAATTTTGTTTACATACTGGTTCCAAGTTATGCTCTCTTGTGTTCCATCTCATAGAGACATACATTGGGAATGTTACCAGTAAATAAACATGTGCATATTGTTTACATTGAAATCTGTGGTAACCCTTCATTTGAGGTTGGGGTAGTTAAGAAAATTAGTGTTAGTTTATTATCCGATAAAGAAATCACGATTATCAAACAAGAAAAATGCCATAGAGTTACGATTATCATCCCGAATTTTTCAACAACAATTTTCAAAGCGCATAGACAATTCCAGTGCACCGTTACGATTCAAATATGATGTAATGGCATCGAAAAACCTTGCAGCTGAGTAACTATTGACAAAAACATGTTACATTTGAGAAAAATGACTGTAAAGATTTTACCCATATCTGCCGTCGCCATATTGGGATGGTCGTAATTCCAGTTAGGGTTATCAGTTTAATACCAGTGATGTACAGTCTTTGATGGAACTAGAAAATGAAAACCAAATTAATATTAAAATATAAAATGTCTTTCAATCATTTATCAATTACATTCAAACATTGCTAAAAAGAAATGTTATAAACATACATGACATATAAACTGAGGTATTTATTATTATCTACTAATACTATCCAGGAATATTATAACATTGGAATAATACCCTTGACAATGGCCTATCCCATTGCTATTCTTTATATATAATTCGTTATACTCTTAGATGATTTATAATCGGAACGTAAACATTAAATTGTAAATTGACGTTCTTCATGCCAAATATTATCCTGGCTCTTTCGGGACCACGCGCAGCTTTTATTATACTCCCTAAATGCCCGACGCATTGTTCCTGGGGTCTAGAACTACATTTTCAAATGTCACCTGATATGAAAAGTATTTGGTAATCATTGATGAAGACACATGCATGTATAACAATTAAATCAGTTATTCGAATGCATCCCACGTGAAATTTTTCATGCTATTTTCACGTGAACTTTACAAAAATATTGATTGATACAAAGCAGTATTCTGGCTCTAAAAACTTCACCTAAAATTCCATAGTATGTCCTATACGAGTCTTCTAATTTCAAAAACCCTTTCCCAAATACCTAATATTTTCAATGGATCACTTAATTTTCATATTTGAATGCTACAATAAACTCACCATTTTACTTTTAGTGATGGAGTCGAAGGTTTTGATGCCAAAGAGAGGGAAAATGCTTTATCAAGTCAAGTCTCAACTCTTATCATTGCAGACTTTAATATGTTGTCATATTGTTGCAACCATTTCAGCAGCTAATAAATACTGCCCAAGATGCAATGTAAGTAGATTTGATCACCATGACTATTCTCTCCCACTCATCTATGGAATATATGTAAATTGTCTCCTTCGTATTAGCCAATAAAAATCTGACATTCTTTTAAGAGTTATAATAACAACAGTTATATTATAAGTCTGTATGAGCTAATGTACGGTGGGTAAGGTTTACCTGCGAAAGAACGTTCTGTGCTGTTTATTTGGTCCTGACTGGTGCTGGTGGGTCCTGATTCTATGCATGTGGGTTTGTTTACATTATATCAGAACGGCAATAAAACAACCGTTATGTTGCTTAATTTTTCTCAAATACGCCCTAAGTACCATGCGAGGAATAGTACAACAATTTTCTACTGCAAAAGTCGTGCAAATTCGCCAAACGAAATTGTCCTGACGATGTGCTGGTGATTAGGTAAAACAATCCTGGTTCTGTGCCTTTATATTTTAGTTAACAGTGGCAAATATTCAAGATTTAAGCAGAACATATGTGTAATTGATAGATAATATACCTAGCATATATTTGGTGAATATTTCATATATGAGCAAAGTTGAGTCTATTTTGTTTAAATTTGATTTTTGAGAAAGGTGCAGGATCTTTTTGTTTAGGTGTTCTGAGCATTTTTAAACTTATGTTAACTGGTAAAGATAATGTGCTGTTAACTGTTCATGACTAATTAGCTGTTTTCTGTTTTCTTAAATTGACATTGTTGTGACCTGTTTTAAGGAAGATTTTTTTTTATCCCCTTGTTTACTTTTTTTTTTTTCAGTTTTCTGTTTTCTCATTAAAGATAATTTAAAATGCTGTTATGGGTTATCAATATTTTAATATAAATCCAGATATAAAAACTAACCAGTACTTGCTTTTTACTCTTTTTTTTTTATGTTTCAAACATTCTTTGTTATATTAACACATTCCATTAAATAAAATTCTTTTACCTTTTTAAAGAAACCATAACTTACCCTGCTTTCTTTAGAAATATTGTTTGAAAATTGATGTTATGCAAGTTTTACAATTTGGTTGAAAAATATATCTTAAACCACACTTTCTACAAGTGTTACATGTTATTGGCAGTTGTTAGATTTACCATCTTTTGTTTGATTGTATATTTACCATTTTTGACTGTTTTTGTTCTGATTGAGATTGTGACAGCTAATTTGTCGTTGTCATTATAATGGAATTTATTATCAAACCAACTTATGTTCAACATTTTTAAAAGACAAAGTCGTATTTATTCTAAAAATATGATAAATATTTTCACCAATAAAGGGCCAAAATATTGGCCTTGTGGCATTTTTCAGATAATACGTAGTCCAATTTATGGCACAGAACTCGTTAAATGAAAAACAAGAATGTATGTGATGTGGTGCTATGAATCCCCTCGTAAGTTATTGTAATGGTAAACAAAAATTGTCTGACTGGTCGGAAAAGTGCTCACACATTACAACCCATCAATGTTAAGTTACTGACCAAATGATTAAGAAATAATTCACGGAAGCCGCCAATAATTATTTCGATTCTAATAGGACAAATACGGTCATTTATAAACTGAAGCGAGGGTGGTTATGCCGTGTGTGCTGCTGTTCTTTTTTACTTCCTGTTAGATAAAGCTTAAACTTTCTAAATAGATCTGTAGCTTGCATGAATTATTTCTTAAATAACCGCTAGAAAAATGAATCTGTTTAATTCTCAAACCGAAAGGTTGCCATTTTTAATCTGCATGTTTTTCTCGTAAGGTACGGTCAAATCCAAAGATGACATTTCGTAACTAAGGAGCCGCCATGTTGACTTGCTGAAATCAGTAAATATGCGAATAATGCATTAGAATAGAAATTAAAACAACACCTACCTCAAAGAATCATTTTAATGTAATAGTATACGAATTCCAATGGTTTACGTAACGGAAAACCTTCAGCCTTAGCGTTTTCATTTGTATGACGTCATGTTTTGAAATGACTTAAATGCGCGTAAAGCATTCATGAACTTTCGTGGAATTTTATTTTATTTTGATGTGTAGATTTCTCCGATCTCTTGTGCATTAATTCTATTTGTTATGCATTCGAATAAGAATAAAAGTTCTGTTGTCTTATTTCAATTTCAGTTTTTAAAACAAAATATCGGCATAGCGTTTGTAAATAGGTTCTGATACATTTGGATTTACGTGGGAGGTCTATTGTAACATCCATTATTTTGTATCTCTCCGAGTCTGCGCTAATTATAGATATATCGAGAATTTTATCACGGTGTTGCTTACAAAGCAAAGGAAGCACGTCATATTAGAATAATCATTATATTATGTTGTTTTTGTAAAGATTGTGACAAAAAAATCCAAGTTCAATCAGCACATTGAAAATTCACATCCGTAAACTTTACCTTCTATATCTCGCAATAAGTCACGCCAATTAGTTTGATTTGTTTGGTCTCTCTTTTATGCCTGTTAGATCCTGAAGTAGACCATGTTTCTTTTTTGATTTGTAGGAACTGTTCATCTTTGGCTGCATAAGGTTTGGTAGCATCACTTTAAATAAATGCCATCTATAGCGCTTCAGGGTTATCTTTAATAGTTGTAGAACTCCACACATTTTTCTCCTTACATGAATCTGTGAAATAAAAAACTCAGATTGTTTTTGTAATTTATGTAGAATTTGCAGATCCTGTAGTACAATATATAATTTTCGTTTATTTTCATACGATCAGAACTAATAAGTAGGACATTTGAAATCTCCAATCATGCAGGTGTTATTAAGTATTTTACCATCATTTTGTTTAATGATTCTTTGTTTACAAAATAAATGCATCACTCTTATTATTTTGATTGGCTTATCCAGCATCATAAGACGATAATCGGATTTTCAATTGGTTATTCATTAAGTCGTATATGACTTTCTAACTATTTGAAGGTTAAGACAATGTACATTTCGTCCATAGCAAAGGACATATGTGAAATATTCAATAATATGCAAAACATTCTCACATTTCACCTGATAGTCTTATTTTTGTCAGATATTTTTAACCCCTAAGGGTGACTGGGGAAACGCAATATGGCCACTTGGTCTTCTCCCGACCGGCAGTAAAACGCTTGCCGAAGTGGGGCGTCCGTTTTGCTGTGCGGGATGTATCAAGTTTGCAGTCACGTCCGGTCAGAATGGGGACGTAAAATCCGATGCCTCGTGTAAAGAGAGTGCCACGCTCTTCGCACGTTAAGAACCCTTGCAACAACTCTTTGAGGGGTCCGTAGGTGGCATGTTGCAAGGCACAATTTCTGTTCCTATCCAATATACCCTCATTTTCCAGTGGCAGTCCAAATTTCCCGACCATCATCCCGAATGACCTCTATTATGACAAGACCTACCTATTGTATTTATTGTTTACTTGTTCTCGTCCTGAACATGCATGAAATATTTGCCACTGGACGTTAAGCAACCAACAATCAACAATCAATCAAATGTTTTTACATTCTAAAGCGTACAAAAAGTCTTAAATGTCTAATGCTCAGTTTGACACCGGGAAAGGACATATGACGTCATACTGGTATGTGCAAAATGCTAAATCGACATTTCGAGGAATTTTTAATTTAACAAAATGAGAGTGTTGACCTTAAGAAAAATAGGTTTAATAAATGGGCAGTGTGTTCATGGGCCACAGATGATGCCCCTGCTGGCATTCAATGTTATAAAGGGACACAACTCAAGAACTGTAAACGTGATACTACCAAAATTTGTACTTGATCTGAGTTTTGTGGTATTAAGCCTTGTGTATAATTATGTTTCAGAACATATTTGAGGCAAACAAAAGTATGAGAACGAGACTGAATATTTCAGCGATTTAAAGTAACAGAACAAGAGTAAAATTTCAGCGATATTTTCCTTTTGTAGAGGGACATAACTCAAGAACAGAACAAGTGACCCCACCATCATGCTCACTTGATGAAAGACATGTATAATCATTATGTCAAAAAATTCAAAAATTTGAACTCAAATTCAAATTTTATGAATAAATTATACTTACCTGACAGATGTACTACCCACCCTTCCTCCCTAAGAAGTTTTTAAGTTTTCTTAACGGGGTCTTTCAAGCCGCCGTGAGAAAACTGATAGTTCATGGTGAACCGGATGTAGCATAACATCTGGTTCCCGCGCGTTTTGAACTTCCGGTCGAGTCTAATACCAACGAGATTGAAATCCTTAAGTACATATGTCAGGTAAGTACCTTAATTTATGATATAAAATAAAAATACGAATTATATAGTCTCGAAGAAAATTTGTAAGATTTCCAAAGCGTTTTTTTTTTTAATAGTTGCAATTTGGGTACTGTGACGTTAGAGAATTGAAAACCATAATGAAATGTACAAATGTATGTATGGACAGACACTGGTAAAAATTGATACCTCCTTCGCCTAGCCACTGGGACATAAAAACAACAAATATATCTAAGTGAAATTAATCTTGTTGAAGGAAGATCTATTCTAGTCTCCAACAAATAAAAATACATCTGTGTGAACAAGCTTACCAGTTCCTACCTCTGATTATTTATATTTAACGAAGTGCTTGTCATAAGAACCACAGATACAATTTATATTCTAAATCTGCATTTACAATTTATACACTCTAAAGTGACAAGTTTCTACCTCTTACTGTTCCTTGGATAAGATCTTACATTTTAATCAATTGTGGACGTGCATGAGGATGTTGACACTCGAAGAACTTCAAGTTCTAAATCTATAAGTACTTTGTAGAGGGACTAATCAGTAAAATTTAAATTTGTAATTAATAAATCAATATTAATGTTGATAATGATCCAAATAATCTACTGTTATAAGGTATTTAGAAATTCCAAAACCATTTCTTTTTTTCAGCAGGGGAAAAACTTGTGTTCTTAGTTCATGTAACCTCGAGTCAACAGATGAAACTGTGTTTCTGGAATTGTAACTTCAATATTCTCATCTTCTGTATCAATAACTGGACCTCCCCAGTCAATGCCAAAGTCATCATCAATCACATTGAAAAGCACTGTGATGGCACTTGACTCACTATGATACTGCAGAAGGATCCCTTTCAAAAACAATTGGTTTGGAGTTTTCCCTTTTCAGAACTAAACTTATGATTATTCCACTGATTCAAAAATATTTGTAGCGAGGCTTGGATCTTTGGAATAAAAACAAAAAAGAGTTCGTCCGCGCATCTGGTTTTATAATAAAATGCCATCTGTTTGGGAATGAAAGTTAATATTTAAAGGAGAAAAAAAAAACCTAACTTGGGACTTTTCTCATCTCAGTGAGTAATGTTGCCAATATGCCTACATTAGATTGCCGAGTCTTGGGCTTGTGCATGTTATGTAGATCTTTGATTGTGTCTATTTTCCCAGTTGATGATAAATCATATTGAAGAAGTTTTTTATTTGCTTTCATTTTTAACATGTTTTTCACACCTTCCAGAGAATGTTCATCTAATTTCCTTTTTGTCTTGGGAGATGATCAAATAAACATTTATTGATAATATCATGATTTAGTATTGTGTGCTTCCTCTCACAATCAGGTTTTGCCCATCATTAGTCACACCATGCCGGAGTACAGAGTTGGGTAAGGAACCGATTAATTGCGAATGTAACAATAATATTTGTGTCTACGGTTACATTGCGTTATTGTTACATTAATGCATTTCAATGTAAGCTCGATTTATTAACTTAAACCTTCTATAGTTTTGTTGCTTAATTCTTTAATATGTAAATTTGATTGAAGTTGAAGGACCGAGTACATGGGTATCGCCCGTTGTAGTTATACCTAAATATGTCTGTATATAGAAATGCGCAGTGCAAAAGAGGCCGTCGTCCGAGAACGGTATCCAATACCTAATGTCAAGGAAATATTACAATACTTCAATCAATGCAGGGTGTATAGTAAACAGAATATTAAGTGGGCATTGCATCAAATCGAGTTTTCACAAGAGTTAAATAAATATATATATATACAAAAATAAAATAATATTCAATAAAAACTATTCACAACAGATGCAGATTATTATTTCACACCTTAGGTAAATGAAAGCTATTTAGCCG